ATTTGTTTATGCTGTCATGTCTATTTTTTTGATTCTTGGTAAATTAGTAAGCATTTGTAATCTAAGAGTAGGCTAAATAGGGCCATTTGCTTCCTGTAACCATTTTCAGTCCTTTGCTCACTAATACACAGGTAGTAACTCCAGGGAGCTGGCCATGGTAGAGAGGGAAAGGAATTTACATCATTTTCTTCATACTTTTTTCAGCCTGTGAGATAAGGCCCCTTTTTTTCTTGCAGACTGATTTTCATAGTTACTTTGTACTAATTTCATTTTGTCCTAATTTTAATTAAGTGTACAAATTTACACCTTTTACTTTATATAAATTGGCCCTTCTTATAGGAATTTACAATAAATGGCTAAGAATAACCATCCTTTTAATTGAAATAGAAATTCCATGTATTATTCAGGGATATGAGAAGTAAATTATGGGATTATTGGGTAGCATATTAGTCCATGTTAGGATATAGTAATTGGATCTTCTAATTTAAAATAGAAATGTCATATCTAGATTATTTATGCATATGGGAAAGAAATTGAAGCGACATTATATCTAACAAAATACCAGATAGAAATCTGTGTACCTTTTAGTCACTTAAAATATTAGTAATGTTCTTTGTGAGTTTAAGGCCAGCCTGGTTTATATAGTGAGTTCCAGGCCAGTTGGGGTTACAGAGAGACCCTGTCTCAAAAAGACCCCCCCCCAAAAAAAAAGTTAGTGATGTTCTATTAAAAAATTTAAATATTGGTTGATGATATTCATTGGTGTATAATGAGCAGTTAGTTATTCCCTTTTTCATATTTTAAAAGGAAATATTGATGTGTACTTTTACTGGACACATTTATATAAATCTTTTCAATTTTATATTATGTCCATGTATTTTGTAGTAAAGAATAATCATGTAAGCTGGACATGGTGGTGCATGCCTGGGAGGCAGAGGCAGGCAGATCTTTGTGAGTTTGAGGTCAGCCTTGTCTACATAGAGAGTTCCAGTCAGCTGGGGCTACAGGAAGACCCTGTCTCAAAAAGATTTAAAAAAAAAAAAAATGTACATAAGAGCAACAGTAAATGGGCTCAATAGATTGTATACTTGTATATACACACACATACATTTTGCATATATGTGTAACAATAATTATAGAAAGAGGAGGTCATTAACTTGAGAGGGATTTGAGGGGACACAGGAGCACAGGAGGAGTTGGTTGGGGGAGAGAGTGGGTGAAAATGGTGTAAATACGGTATTCATGTATGAAATTGTTGAATAAATTCAGATTAAAGAAAAAGTAATTATAGATACATGAAAAGTAATGAACTATTTTGGACTTCAAAATAATTTAAAACTTTGCTACAATGGACTTAAATGTATCTAAAAGTATGAATGGAGGTGACTTATTCATGACTTAATTTTCTTCACATTTATTTTCCTATGTACTTTAGATCATTTTGGATATTTAGTAAGTTAAATTCTTCAGGCATAAGTTCTTACCTTTCTTTGATTAATTCTTGATTAAACCTCACCTCCTAAATTGAATTATCCACATAAGAAATATTAATGGGGGTGGGAAATCTTAATTTTTCAACTTTTTTTTATAGTGGAAGTGTTTGTCCCTCCTTGTGTATCAACTCCAGAGTTTATCCATGCTGCTATGAGGCCAGATGTCATTACAGAGACTGTAGTGGAGGTGTCGACTGAAGAATCTGAACCTATGGATGCCTCTCCTATCCCTACATCACCAGACAGCCACGAACCAATGAAAAAGAAAAAAGGTCGAGTATATTTATCTACTCTGAGAAAGCAGATGAATGTCTTTCTGATATCTTTTCCCATCCAGGGATATAGAACATAATATATGCTATAGGTTAAGGATTGATGTTATCTTTTCCAGTCTCAGACAGAAAATGAAGATTTAGTTTTGTGCTTTAACATCATAATAACAAACATCTAAGAAGTTTGTAGCCATATCCGGTGATAGTGACAGGCAATCACAGTAAAGATCAAGGTGTAGTGAGTAGCTGTCTTAAAATTCAAGAAAGGGTTGGGGAATATAGCTTAATGATAGGGCACAAGACTCTGCTTTCCTTCTATAGTACTCTCCCTACTGTCCTGCCCAAAATGAGGTTAGCATTTAAGCCTTAATGGTATATTCCTGAAAATGAGCTTTTAGCAGTATTGGATACCCAGAACTATTAGAGGTTTCCCATACATTGGTCTTACTCTTCTGATTTTAATTTCTAAGCTATTTATAGGCACTTGGTTACATTTAATTTATATA